TTGATGAATGTAACACAACCGACAAGATATGTACTCAGAACGCAAGTTGTGTCAACGAACTAGGAAGTTATGCATGTACATGCAACATGGGATATACTGGTAATGGATCCTACTGTCAAGGTAGGTACACAGCTAGTTGTGCAACGGTCTACGTTCTTGCTTTACTTCCTTGCTACATGAAGGTGATGCCCTGCCTCTCACACATTTGACTTTTTTTAATGTATCTCTGGAGATACACATAACCTGAACTCTTTACCGGCAGCCCCATTCTTCAATGCTTCCAAGTTGACGCATTCGGCATGCATGCAAGCCCATGCTTGGCGCGAAGGAAGCATTAGCCCACCGGGATACCCCGTGGCCCTCACGCAGCCAAGGTGTGATGTTCTCAGTAGCTGAAGAGATCGTCACGTGTCCTATTGGATTTTTTTTAACTACGCGACAGGAAACGTATGGAAACACACGTGGGCTGACAATGCCGTCGGCTTCCGCCAAAACTTTGTCAGGTGCATTTTCTCTTGCGCAGTGAGTTCCTTCCATCCTCGGATGACTTCTTCGACGAGGACCTAACAGTCCTTCGCTCTTGGACCGATGAAAGATAGATAAATACATCGTTCCAGCTGCTGATGCAAGCGGATTTCAGCGCACACCAAGTAAATTGGCAAAGAAGGACAATATAAAAACACACCAAATGGCAGCAAAACAACACCAGAAACTCAGTGCGCGAAGTAGCACACTGAAGCCATCTCCGCCGTTGCCAAGGAAACGGCGGAGGCGTAAGTGAGGTTTCGGCGGCACCTGCGAAAAGAGTGTATGTGGGCCCAGGGCCTATAAAAGAGGTTTATACACCACTGAGGAAAACCAGAGTCACCATTATTATTATTATTATTATTTATTCTTCTTTTACTAGGGAATTCCCAACAGGCGTCAGCGCCTTTTTACAGGGAACCCTAGGTATAATTTGATGGCCATAAATCCCCATACTACATGTAATCATCAGGCAAAATAGCACGTCATAGTACATTTGAGATCAGCGGGAAGAAGATTACGATGTCCACACATTTAGTATCTGTGCACACGAATCTGCTGTTACTGTGACTCTGTGTGTCAGCTGTGGCATCATCCCCAGTGGTTCCATGCCTAGCATGTACGTGTGAACCATCCTGCAAAGTTTGAATGACGTAGGTTGAGCGATCGCTCCGCGAAACATACTTTTTGAAATTCTCTTCATAGTATATCTTCCACCATTGAAATTTCGAATTTCTTGCTGAAAGGGGTGGCTTGCAACCTCGATATGGCTTGTTCCAGGAATGCTTTGGAGCCATCCCCTGTTGAAGTAGTGGCGGGGATTTGCCCTGCAACTGCTACAACAAAAAACGATTCGATCTGAGAAAGGGTGACACCGCAAATCTCGGTTGAATATTGAGTATTTCAAACCTTTTCACAACGAAGATTGAATTCTTATTGGAGATGGACGTCGCGGCAAAGGACATGGTGTCCGAATTCTGGCGTCTGGTGAAGCCAGGGATCATTTGTCCAGTCACGTCGGCAGCCAAACCATCGGTAAGCTTGTGTTTGGATCGCGTTCTGCTCGATGTGGTAGATCACAAACAATTTGATTTTGCACAAATTGATCGCAGCATCGTGCGTATGGTATTTTATATTCAGAAAATCACAAAGTGTCTCTGTGTGGCCGTCCTATGCCATGAGAAACTCCAATCAGGCTCCTATGTCCTCTGCCTTCATGATTGAATGTCCACTTCATTCGAACAACGAACACAACAATCGAGGATGACTTTGCAATGTAAATGACAGCTATACTGGAGCGGGAAAAAAAAGAAGAAAAAAAACGTGCTCAGGATGAGACTTGAGTACACGTATACTCTCCCAGCAGGTGAAACGCAATTTTTTGAGAAAAAATGCGTGACGCCGACTGACCAGTAATTTCGCCTGACGACTATTAGTATATTGTGCACATGACCTTGCACAATCATTTACGGGTTGTACTGCCCCAATCCATTCGTCTGAGCATCCATGATTGCATCCTCTAGCTTACTTTGACAGCTCCGATGCGGAGCAGATCCATTACTCGGAAAATTGCACATGGTTTTCACCAGTGGACGGTGGTCTTTCCCACAGCAAGTTGAATAACAGAAGAGGACACTGCAGATCTTGATCTCCGTGTTGAGAAGTACAGTCAGAGGAATAGACGAAAGCAGATAAACTGCAGCTGTCGGCGAGAAACAAGCCATTAGCAGGCCACACACATTGGATATGGAGAGATATTAATATATTATAGCGAGGAACCTCGTATATAATGAGAAATATAGACCAGTTATAAGAAAAACTCTGCTCCGCCTCGGTGGTCCCCAGTTCCAAGGTGTCCGTAGGTTATGCAACAAGCCCTTCCGATTGGTTGTAGACCCCAAGGGAACCTAATTGCAAAATTTTAGTGAAGTAGGAGAGATGGCCCAGCCCAGCTTTTCTGTTTTCTCAGGCATTCTGTCTAAAATATCTATGTGGAGAAAACATAGTTTTATAAGATGTGTAGAGTATGAATGGCTACAAACAAGAACATGAATGAATTTACACCTCTACCGACTAGTCAAGTTGCTTGGTGGTGTCTGCTTAATTCATACTTTTCATTATTTTGTTTGATTGTGTAGACGTCGACTGTGGTCTACCTCCAAACAATGTAACTGCGGGTGAACTCTCAGTCCCTCTATCCACTACATATTTGACCGTCCTGAATGTAACCTGTAATATTGGATACAGAGCAAGCACTACAGTTTCCCAGACAATAGAGTGCCAGCTTAATGGAACATGGTCATATCTGGACAACCAGCCGTGCACTGGTGAGTGATAGTGTATATGTGTTGGCTAATGTCTCTCCACTCAAAGTTGAACTAGAATCAGCCTCACGAATCGAAGTGCTGCAAGAAAATAGGATTTCGGACTACATGTTCCGGTGACAGCGTGATTGATAGAAAAATCTGACAGACGGTTTCAGTGTGTTTGAGTGTGGATTTTAGTCTCTCTGAAAATCATGGTGTTTGTTTACTAAACTGGAAAGTCTGCTTTCTCAACAAACAGTCTGTCCAACAAAACTATTTTCGGTAGATTTTGAATGATGGTATTCTCGATGTTATCCTTTTCACTTTATGACTTTAGACAGTGATGAATGTAATACAACTGACAAGATCTGTACTCAGAACGCAAGTTGTGTCAACACACTGGGAAGTTATCTATGTACATGTGATACGGGATATACTGGTAATGGATCTTACTGTCAAGGTAGGGACACAGGGGGTAACACATTTAACTTTATTGTAACATAAAGGATACCCTGAGTCTTTCACCTTTAGAATGAAGTTGAAGGCACCACCACAGCGGTACTGGTGGTGGTGGTGGTGAGAAGGAGAGCTCTGCGCCAGAACTGCGCAGCCTAGAGAGCATGTTGTGGACACGCGTGTATTTACCTCTCACTTCAATTTTTTAATGTTTCCCCAGTGATGCGAGTACTAGTCATCTTATTCAACTGAATGATGCACTTGCACACTCCCTACAATACCAGAAGCAATAACTACATGTCATGTATAATTGTGAAGAAGCGGCAAGGAGATAACAGTGTTGGGAAGAGCTATGAACATAATTAATTTAAATTGTGCACACCTGTACACTTGTCGCATTGCATTTGGTTCCTATTTTCTAGTACCCTATTGAGCCTTGATTCAAGAGGGTGGTGGCGTTCCTGCGGATACGGAAAACTGGGCATTTGGCACCCTAACCCTAACCCTAACCCTAACCCTAACCTCTCACGCGAACGGTGAAATATTGTTTTTGACCCGACACATGTCATCATTGCATCATTGTATTTATTTATGTAGAAGTTGACTGTGGGCCGCCTCCAAGCAATGTAACTGCTGGTGAACTCTCAGTCCCTCTATCCACTACATATTTGACGGTGCTGAATGTAACCTGTGATATTGGGTATCGAGCAAGTACTACAGTTTCCCAGACAATAGAGTGCCAGCCTAATGGAACATGGTCAGATTTGGACCACCAGGCCTGTCTTGGTGAGTAAATTTGTGGTTGCTCCGCATACTTGAAAGGAGAGAAAAGGAACAAATCTTCTCTCTGTGCCTCCTTGTCTGCCTCTGTGTCTGTATTTATGGCACGAATTAAGAGAAAAACTTCTGCTACACACAGGAAGTTGCTTTTCATTTGTTTCTACGAGTCAGGCTTCTACTAAACTATGATATACTATTAATTGAATTTCAAGTCCTTTTCTGGCAGGGCCACCTTAATATCACACTGTTGAAGCAAATCCATTGGAATCGACATCGAGAGACTTTCATTTCTTCGTATATTTCTGTAAACATAGGGCAAACGAATCCAATGACCTAAGATCATTTTGATATCACGTTATGATACTTACGTAGTGCGATGACAAACAAGAAAAACTCAATCCTTTTCGGGCCAATTTTGCAAAATTTAAGTTGCAAAACACTTTAGCACCATATGGAATCGGAGTTCGGATTACCAGTTTCGTCTTCACACACAGAAGCCTGTACTTTCAACCGGTATATCTTTGCTGATAAATCTTCCCTGACATGTTCTGATACTATGAGGATTACTGACATGATTTCATGAAGCCACAGACGAATGCTGGAAACATTTTATTGTCATCAATGCAGACCTGTCTCTTCCTTAGAGAATGTCTTGTTCAGGCTACTTCGAAGGGCCATAATCCCTCCAAAAGGCCCAAATACATATCCTAATAATCATTATTTATTTTCTCATTCCCTAGCATTGCAACTATTTCGGCATGAGCCACTTTTAACAAATTCTCAAGTGCTGCAACAATAGTTTGTCGGATCTACAAATCTTAGACAATGTCATGCGCTTGATCAATGCTGTGCTACCTCCTTCCTACACCGGTCAGATATTGATGAATGTACTGCCGCTAATGATACATGTCCTGAGGTAGCGCAGTGTACAAATACCCCGGGTAGCTATACTTGCACCTGTGACATTGGCTACACAGGAAATGGATCATATTGTCAAGGTAAGAATGGCACTTGAAAAAGCACCTTATCTTTGTCTTAGTGGCCTATAGAGGCAAAGTCTCCCTTGTTCATATATTTGACATTTGCGACACTAGTTAACCTCATCCCGCCATATCAATTCTTGATACAAGGGTGCTTGCCTTGCATGAATTAGGTTCAAGTGCTTCACAAGAAGTATTTCGCTCTTTGCATAAAAAAAATTTCACGGTTCGCGTGAGACTCGGCTGGAAGCCGAGCTCTTTGCAATTGTGTGTGAATTTGTAGAAATTGACTGTGGGTCACCTCCAAGCAATGTAGCCGTTGGTAAACTCCCAGCTCCTTCTATCCACCACATATTTGACATGAATGAAACCTGTAATGTTGGCTATGGAGCCAGCACTACAGTTTCCTCAAAATTGAATGCCATTCCTAACTTCACATTTGAGTGGGAGGGTGGCTGATGAACAATTGCCATGCATCGTTGTAGTGTGAGCGGACGGGAAATGTTGTCCTTGTGAAAATTTGTGTTGGTGCACAGAGGAAGATCGATTCAGAGGGACTTATTTAAAAGATCCATTCCGCGAGGCTTGAACTTCAGTGCTGGAAAAAACTTTGAATGTCTAAATCGTATCTGTGTTTGTAAGGATAAGTCTGTTTCCAAAGAAAACAATCGTCTTAATAAAAAATGATTTGCCAAATTTTGGATGACGTTATTCTTGATGTTATCCTTTTCTGTAGATATAGATGAGTGTAAAACGACTGGCAAGATCTGTACTCAGAACGCAAGTTGTGTCAACACACTGGGAAGTTATGTATGCACATGTGACACTGGATATACTGGTAATGAATCTCACTGTCAAGGTAGGCACACAGCTACTTGTGCATTAGTATTATTTCCTTGCTCTACTCGCTTTTGCTATACTTTACTGATCTATACCTTTGCTACATGAAGGTGATACCCTGCCTCCCACACATTTAATTATATTTAATGTATCCCCGGAGAAACGCATGATCTTTATGCAATGATTGACTTGTGCACTCAATGCAAATACCAGTGGTAAAACTTTGTTGAGCATCTTCGAGGAACACTGGCTTTGAACGTTTTATCATACATACATGGAATATACATGATGCGACGTGAACTTTTTTTCGTTATGGTGTTTGCACTGAGTGCGCAGCTTAATTAGTATAGTCAGTGCTCGTCCTGCATTGTATTTTGTCACTTTGAATATCTATGTGATCCTAAGTGCCTGTCAAAATTATGTTTGATTATGTAGAAGTTGACTGTGGACCACCTCCAAGTAATGTCACAGCTGGTACGCTCTCAATCCCTCTATCCACTACATATTTGACTGTCCTGAATGTAACCTGCAATACTGGATACAGAGCAAGTACTACAACTCCCCAAGCAATATACTGCCAGCCTAATGGAACATGGTCATATCTGGACAACCAGCCTTGTACTGGTGAGTGACATTGTACATGTGTTGGTCAATGTCCTTACACTAGAATCAGCCGCACAAATCAAAGTGCTGCAAGAAAATAGGATTTTGAACTACATGTTTGGGTGAGAAAGTGGTTGATACATGATTACTGGTTTTGCGATGATTCGTCTCATGGGTTCAACAGCTGGGTAGAAGAAGCAGCTAGCTGGCCAGCAGCACATCAGCTGTGCCATGCACTCCAGCTATGGCTGCTAGTATTTTCTGGATTTTGAGAGTACCTTTTCTCTGCGAACATCGCTGCCAGGTGTGCGCAAGATCACGGAACTTTTGGCATGGGTTTTTGACATACCTGACATGGATTGGATCACATTGATCTGCAGTTGATTTGTGTACATGTATCAAAATAGCACTAGGACGACCTGACTGCCTACTTACACCCTTGGCCTTTCAGTTCATTGTACGAGTAACTGCTGGTGTACATGGACAATGTTAGGATGACATCCATTCATGGTATCATTATTATTGTGAGACACAAATTAATTTCCCAATTGATGTGATCTAAAAATGCAACCTGGGAATATATAAATTTAAATCACGATTGATGTGAGAAATGCGCAAAAATAAACATGGCTGCTGAACGGTACCCGTTAAACCGCCGGCTAAAGGTATTGACCATTAAATTTTGTTAGTTAACAGTACACCCGTTTGACTCCTGTGAAAATTATGGGGTTTGCTTGTGAAACTGAGAAGTCTGTTTACTCAAAAACAATCTAGGCAAGAGATTTTTTTCATCGGATTTTGGGTGACATTATTCTCGATGTGATCATTCTCCATTCATGACTATAGATATTGATGAATGTAGTATAACTGGCAAGGTCTGTACTCAGAACGCAAGTTGTGTCAACAAACTGGGAAGTTATGTGTGTACATGTGACACTGGATATACTGGTAATGGATATCACTGTCAAGGTAGGTACACAGCTGCCACAGGCCACTTCCTAGTTACACGAAGGTTACCTAGCTTCTCACATCTTCAAATAAAATAAAACATATGAGTGTTTATTAAATAGTTCAATTTTTGTTTCAGTGTCCTTTAGTACAATGACGATTCCTGATGAGTGTTGTACGAAAACTTGTTTGAATCCATATTTTTTTCCCTACACCATTTCTTCATATTTTCATCGTTTTATTGCACATCGTCTCCACCGTTTTTTACATTGTTTATTAACTGGTGGTGTTATTGGACAGTATAGCGTGACTTGTAGTTCCTTGGTCTATCTCTTTTGTATAAATATGACTGTTTTCTTGCAGATACCAAAGATGTTGGCGCTATAACTGACTTGTCAAAATTCATGTCTTGTTTTTGTGGAACACTGACTTCGATGATATTATGGAATATACATGACATTTTACTTATTGTATTTGCACCGAGTTCTACAGCTGAATATGTGTCGTGTTTGCTCTTCTCACGTTGTATTTTGGACACTTTAAACACCCTGTTCGAACTTCAATGCTTGTCAACGTTTCAACAACGTTAAACAACTTCAATCACTGAATCATGTTACTTTGTTTATGTAGAAGTTGACTGTGGACCGCCTCCTAATAATGTAACTGCTGGTAAATTCTTAGTTCCTGTACCTACCACTTATTTGACCGTCCTGAATGTTACCTGTAATATTGGGTATCGAGCAAGTCACACAACTCCCCAAGCAATCAAATGCCAACTGAATGGAACATGGTCATATCTGGGCCACGAACCATGTCTTGGTAAGAGAGCTTGTAGTTGTTCAGCGTAGGCCAGTCCCGAACATTTGGTGTAATGTAAATTATTATAATTTGTGCTAGTGCTACATCACAAGGCCCACAATGTGATGCTGCATACGGAACCAAAACATCCGTATTTGAGAGCTTAGCTTGCCCGGATTTTGTAAAAGTAATAAAATCAGAGCTATTCTGGTTCCGCTTTAGTACGTAGACTAGCACCAGTGTAGGGTATGTTGGTATCGTGTCGGGTGGTAAGTTGCTAAGGCAAACATAGAGTTGATCTGCGCCTGCACCAGCCTCTTTGCCTGTGCTCTAAACGAATTCAAATAAAAGAAACAAACAAAAACAAACTTTCATTTTTGTTCTGGCTGTATTAACCCAGCTTCTCACCAATTTCCATCTTTGCATCAATGTGCTTGTTTCCTGTGCTTGCTTATGTAGAAGTTGACTGTGGACCACCTCCGAACAATGTAACTGCGGGCAAACTTCCTGTCCCTCTATCCACTACATATTTGACTGTACTGAATGTAACCTGTAATATTGGATACACAGCAAGCACTACAGTTCCCACAGCAATAAAGTGCCAGCCTAATGGAACATGGTCAGACTTAGACCACCAGCCATGCCTGGGTAAGTCAGTTTGCATGCGTGTGAGCTGCAGTAGTTAGGTTTCAGTGTCAGTGTGAGTATAAACTTTCTGGAAGTACTTTATATCCTTGACTGCTAGACTCTGAGCCAGTTGTAATCATCTTGGTATTAGCACACGACAGACACTGGTGATTCCTATCTGGTAATTGACTAATCAAAATATCAGTCTTTACATCTCTGTGTACTGTTTCCGAATAAATCTGTTATCAAACTGGGTTGGCGACACCATCTCAGGGGCTGCAACGTGACAACCTGATGAGCTGCAGTGTGATGTTCTGCAACTTGATGTTCTGGCACGGGATGTGCTGCAACGTGATGTGCTGCAACCTGATGCTCTGCAACGTGATGTGCTGCAACGTGATGTGCTGCACCATGATGTGCTGGAACCTGAGGCTCTGCAACGTGATGTGCTGCAAAAAAGATAAGAGCATACATAACGGATTTGCAGGCTTTTTTGGCAGAGCACAAGATGAAAAACTCCTGGAGGAGTCATCTGGAGTTGTTTTCACGTGTGTATGCTGGATTTTGTTCTTCACCATGAATAATCTTAGACATTGATGAATGTAATACAACTGGCAAGATCTGTACTCAGAACGCAAGTTGTGTCAACACACTGGCAAGTTATGTATGCGCATGTGACACTGGATATACTGGTAATGGATCTCACTGTCAAGGTGTGTATAAAAAAATCACGGTTTGCTTGTGACTCGGCTGGAAGGCGGTGTGTATACAGCTGCTACAATCCACTTCCTTTCGTTTTAAAAAAATTGCACTGCCGCTGCTTTGCACTGCCGCCATTTGCAACTTTTAGATCTGCGCCAAATTGCAGCTATTTACACTTTGCTTTGTGAGTATAATTATATAATATTTCCTGAAGCCGAGTGAATATGGGCGAATTTTTACTAGTATACAAACCGAGGCGAAGCCAAGGTTTGTACAGCTAGCGAGTATTCGCCCATATTCACGAGGCTGAAGGTAATATTAGACTTATACCTCTTCATATTCACCCTCTCGTCCCTAAATCCCAACAAACGAGTCCTGTTGTTCATACATGTACATGTACGCAGAACTAACGTAAGTTGTTGTTGCTTCACTGAGCCTTCAGACCGACTGGCGTGTTCTTGCCTGAATCGGAGGGCGGCGTGTTAAGAATATTGTTCAATCGATCGTGTACACATACTGGTTCATGTGGCATGGGAGGTGACCACCTTGGAGAACACGCTCGTGCCAATCACCATGGAGAACACGCTCGTGCAGCTTTGTGGCGGGAGCCAATCATTAGAGAGGTTTCGTTTCACGCGAAGATTTGACCAATCAGAGAAAGGTTTCGTTTCACGCGAAGATTTGACCAATCCACGATCATCGCGCCAATTCGGGAGTTGGTTTATAACAGCGAGCCAAGCGGTTCTACCCTCACTTCTTTTCTTTTTAGGCAGCGCTTCGGAGCTGTTGTGTGCTCTAGGAAAATTCTACGCTATCGTCCTTGAACAGGGCTGTTCTGAGTACTGGCTTGCCGCTTGATTCGCAATCATCGGGTCATTAACAGGTTGAGCGACCAAAACCTTGTTTGCTCACTGGAACGCTCCGTCTGTGAAGATGCTTGCTGTCAGCACCTGGTCACATGCGGATCCAGCGGCAATGGCAAGCAAGGAATTATTTCGTTTGTACTCAGAAAAGTCCTATCTACGGAAGTTAGCGTAGAAAGTTTCTAGGGCACTCGCCATATCCGGTGCGCTGACTGAAGAGGAATCAAGCGCAGCACCGAGTACTGCTCTCTTTACAGTACATGTAAGTATCGAAAAGTGGTGAACATAAGTGGTGAATATCAGTGGTGAATATCAGTGGTGAATATCAATGGTGAATATAAGCGGTGAATATTCAGCAATATTCACCACTTATGTAGATGGCCAATTGTATGTGGGTGAATATGGAATGAGGTATAAAAACCAATACTGATCCAGATTTCTCATTACATTATTTTCTGATGATCGCTTAGTGCGCGAAACTCGGAGTAAAAATTTTTCTCTACCCTCCTATTGTTTGAAAAAGCCCTGCATCGGTGAAAGATGGACATTATGGAATGACATATGAATGTATTTTAGCAATTAGATCTTGGTTTTGGTTTGTGAAAGCAAGGTTTATCAATTGAATGATGAAATTGCTTTCGTGTGAACATGACCAATTTTAGATATTGATGAATGTAAAACAACTGACAAGATCTGTACTCAGAATGCAAGTTGTGTCAACACATTGGGAAGTTATGTATGTACATGTGACACTGGATATACTGGTAATGGATCTCACTGCCAAGGTAGGTACACAGCTACTAAAATCCACTTCCTTTAGTCTGAAAAAATACTTTGTTTTATATCAATGAGTGGGCCATCAACATTTCATCATATTTTTTGTCCCTTTCAAGTGCCTCGGATCTGTGAATACCTGACGAGTTTGGACTCCATGCTGACTTGGGCATG